TATTCAAGCCTGCATTGAAAGATTACCTCTTTACTCACTCCTTCTATTCTGTAGATGATTTCATCTCTGCTGAAAATGTTTAAGCTTTATATCCATAATCTACGTATATGTAAAGCAAGTTTTGTATTTATATTTAAAATTCTGAGGTTTATGTATATTAATTTGTAAAATTATTTTTTATACTTGTATTGCAGAATCTGAAATTTATGTACATTGATATGTGAAATACGTTCTTGTACTTGTGTTGAAAGTTATGAAGTGTATGTATATAGTATGAAATGACATGGTCTACAACCTTTGGTTGAGACCAAAGAAGGATCTATGGAATGTAAATAAACTCTACTCTACTCTACTCTCCTCTAAATATATCATACTGTAAAGCACACTCCGTAAAGGGTATTTGAAAGGACTGGATTGAACTGGCTAATTTTATTTAATTTATTATATTTCAGTGGTTTCCTTTTGTGAATATAATAATGAACTTTGGGGTTTAATAAAAGCAGGGAATTTTTTGGCCAATTGAGTAACTATCACCTTTTTAAGGAAGACTCTGCATCATGGAATAGAGTTTGTGGGATAATATTTATAAATTTTTTGCCTGTTTTTGGTATGTTTTTCAGGTGAAAACACACCTGCAGTCACAGGCTGCAAACAGCATTGCAGTAGGCTACCAGCACACACATACAGGTTGCATTAGTGCATTATGGAAAATATATCTGGAGCAGGGCATTCTGGGACTCTGGCGTGGTGTATTTGGAGCAGTGCCTCGGGCAGGCATTGGTTCTGCTTCTCAGCTTCTCTCCTTCTCCCTCTGCAAAGACTACTTAGGAAATTATGAAGTAATTATTGCTTTGTTGCATAAATGTTTCATATATGTTTTACCCACTAATTGATTCTGGAGCTAAGTTGACATCAATTAGAGCCAACACAGGAAGTCAGAGATTTTTGTAATACAGAGTGTAAGACATTTCTAATATATTTGCAACAGCACGGCACGGAACAATAAATAAAACAACTGAATACGATGTAATTGCGTGAAGAATTTCTTAACTACGACCGGCGCACTCATAAATAACACAAAAATGGTGGATAAAGTAGGGATGTTCTGTGACCTATTTTAAATCCGTACCACGAAAAAAAGTGATTGGCCCACAGACCGAGATACGAAAACACGTACCTGAAGACGTGGCGCTAAACCTGCTTATCAGGGTCTACAATCGACTATGTGATACACGACATGACAGACAACTTGGTCACGATCCACAATATACAGACACTAACAAAATTAGTTACAGATTTTTATTAAAAGCGACAGAGTTGCTTCACGAACTCACGAGCATTCTGGCAACAAAATTACAGAACTGTACACGCATCACGACGGTGTATTTATGGGTTTCATTTAATCCGAGGCTAAAGAACGATTATTTCCCCAAATATCATTAACTGGCTGATGCAATGGAGACGAGCTGTGTTTTCTTTGCGGTAGGGAGTGAATGTTTAAATGTTATCCACATGAGTTTTGAGATTCAACTCCAAACAGCATTGACCAACTGACGTGTTTTCTTAGCGGTACGGACTGAATTTGCAAGTATAATTTAGATGCTCTTTGGCTTAAGAGGGTTAATATTATAACTTAGTTATAGTGGAAGTAAATTCAGAAAAAACTAAGTACATGTTAGTATCTCGTCATCAGAAGACAGGCGGGCAAAATTATCTTAGGGTGGCTAATAAATCCTTTGCAAGGGTTACAAAGTTCAAATATTTGGGAACAGCAATAACAAATCAAAATGATACTTGTGAGGAAGTTAGGAGGAGACTAAATTCCGGAAATGCTTGCTACTTCTCAGTCCAAAATATTTTGTCTTCCCGTCTGATTTCTAAGAACCTGAAAATTAAAGTATACAAAACAATAATCTTGCCTGTTGTTTTGTATGGGTGCGAAACATGGTCTCTCACTCAGAGGGAGGAACACAGATTGCAGGTGTTTGAGAATCGGGTGTTGGGGAGGATATTTGGGCCTAAGAGGGAAGACGATGGGGCGTGGAGAAAACTGCACAATGACTAGCTTAAAATCTGTACTGCTCCCCCAGTATTGTGAGGGTGATTAAGTCGAGAAGGGTGAGATGGGCGGGACATGTAGCGCGCATGGATGGGACAAGAGGTGTGCACCGGGTACTGGTTGGGAAACCTGCAGGGAAGAGACCGCTGGGGAGACCTAGACGTAGATTGGGAGGATAATCTCAGGCGGGATCTATGGGAGATAGGAGTTGAAGGAAACTGGATTTTGTTGGCCCAGGACAGGGTCCGGTGGAGGGCTTTGGTTAATTCGGTGATGAACCTTCGGGTTCGGTAAGCCATCTAGTTAGTTAGTTAGTTAGAGCGTAAGTTGTATGTGACAGCATTACTTTGGGAATTTACTGTTATTAGACTTGTTTGTAGTGTTTCCATAGTACATTCATGTTGCTTGTTTCCATCCATCTCTTCCTTCAAACCTTGATTCTCTTCACATTTTACTTACTTTTTGGGTGGGGAATATTTTTGCTAAAGACATACAAAAATTATAACTGTCACTTTGCTTGAAGGCCTAAATTAATTTTGTGTGTGTGTGTCATGAAATCCCTACATGTCTGCTTAAAGTTTTTCCTCATCCAGGATTTTGTTTCTGTTCTCTTTTACCATCTATTTGGCTTAATGCTAACACACCAACCTTGTATTTATTGAAGATTTCCACCTTCTGGATTGTTGCGCTGTGTAGTCTGGTCGATGTTAACCAACGTTTCAGAGGTCATACTGCCTCCGTCATCAGGGCGATGTATTTATTATTATTTATTTACTGCAATTGGGTTTGCACCCGTGGCAGTGGTCCTTACACTGCACAATTACAACAAAATACATACAATAAAAACAAGTACACTCCATAGAACACCCTACACACATAACTAGAACATCTACCCCTACAAAAACATCCACACCTTACAGGGACACACACAATACAAAAACACACATCCATTAAGTAATCACAATACTTTAGAGTAAAATATAAAGTCAAACCTCAGTACATGATACTTGATACTTTTATCCCAAAGAATTAAAGTCACTTCGAGACTTCACTTCCCTTATCACAATCTAATCCCCACTTAATAACCCTTTGCTTGTAACTACTTTCTTGACCCTCTTTCTAAGGGTGCTTAATTTACAGGGGAAAGACGCTAGTACGCCTGGAGGTAATTGGTTCCAGCTTTTTATGGTCCTATTTACAAAGGAATATTTGCCAACATCCATTCTTTGTTTTCTAGTCCTAATTTTCTGACTATGATAGTCCCTGCTCAGGTAGCATGACTTTAGTAATCTATCCCCTATCGTTTTCCAAGCCTGGTCCCCCGTGTACCTAATGATGTATTCAGTTTAGATCTTGGCCACAACACTTGATATCACCAAATATCATGCTCCTGCTCTGTGTGTGGAAGATATGGAGTTCAAATTTTGTTTCAGAAACATGCTATTCTGACTGAGGTTTTTCATGGGTTTTCCTCAGACTTCATCCTATAAATGGATTCTAGACTTGCCTAGGATTGGCATAGACCAGGAAAGGTCATCAAGGCTATTCCTGATGACTTTCAGTTCTAGTCAACTTTCCAAAAATGTTGTGGCACTGATGTCTACTCTGTGTAACATGGACAGCAATACATATTCCAAACTTTCTTGGTGTTTGATAATGCAGGCACAACAGTATGAAAGTGCACATTGATTCACATAGTCAACAGACACAATAATGGTTCACTTTATGTTTTTGGAAAAAGTGTCTGTTTCTACCATTCTCCCCCTTTCAGGCATTAGAATGCCATTTAGTTGACTGTAAACACAATAACATATTTTCTGTAATACTTATAATTGCCTCAAAGTGTTCTCACTTCAGAATTTATTGTCCGTTATTATTGCAGATCTTTGCCAAGAGGCCTCTGTTGAACACATTTACATCTAGTATGGTCGGAGGAGTAATTGTAACTATGTTTATAACACCATTTGATGTGGTCATGACTCGGTTGTACAATCAAGGTAATGTTTGTATTTTTTCACATTTTGAAATTTGATTATGAAACAATTTTATGATATTTGCTTGAATATTTAGTTGTTCTAGATCAGCAAGCAGTTACAGAAATGAAAGTAAATTAGTGATCCAGGAACTAAAAAGAATTAAAAATAGTAAAAATCATACTGTGAAGTTTGTTGTGGGGATTTAGTTCTGTTACCTGAGTCGACACTGTATAGCCTGAGCTACTGCAAAAGTGTCTTAAATAATCTATAAATAAATAAATGTTACCAGGTCACCTACAGTGCAACCAGCTTATCTTATAACTAGGCTTACATTATACCATATGTGGAAGTCATAACGTTCATTTTTTTTATACAAATTAATTTTTAGTTGTAATCTATTTACAAATGAAACTGTGTGTATTTTGCTGCTAGAGACATTTATGAATTAGGTGTCACTTCTGGGGCATTTGATCTGCATAAGTCAGCAGTAAACTGTGCCCATGATAATCTGTTGCTGATAATGGTATGTGACCTTGGTTCAATGATAGTCCAACTTATTGCATCACACCATCATCAAAACTCTTTAGGCTTAACATAGAGTATTCTTAGTTATATTATTCTACAGAAATCTCAGTAATAAAGGTACATAAGGTACAGGAATTCCTGTATGGATTTGTACCTGCACACATGTGTGTCATACTTATGAAACATGTGTCTTACTGTAATTGTGAAAGTAAACATTAGTATTTAAAAACCGCTATTGCTGTGCTATGGCTTTCTTTAGGAAAAGATAATTTGATTGAGATTTTAATGATGCTGTTTCTGTGACGTTTGTTACAGGTACTGATTCACAGGGACGAGGGTTGTTATACAAGGGTGTAGTTGATTGCTTCATAAAGATGTGGAACACAGAAGGAGTGTATGGATTTTTTAAGGGATTCATGCCAAACTACACACGTCTTGGACCACATACTGTTCTTTGTTTTGTATTTTGGGATGCACTTAGAGGACTTCAGACTAAGTTTGTAAATAGGCAACATAAGAAAGATGGAACTGTGAAAGTTGTGAGGTCATAGTAGCAACTAGTTTGTTGTCCTGTGTGTTTTAGGTGTTTCATTGTGTCTTAGCTTACTGTTATCAGCGGAAGAACATTTATATTGTTACAATCTGAGCTGAACTACTCTGAGGCAACCTGGACACCCAAAAATTATAACAAATAATTTTTATTCTGTCAATATTGGTCACCAGGGTTGTAACACCATGTCAACTTGTAGATAGATACAAACATTTCAGAGGAAAATATTGTCTCCATCTTCCAGGCTGAAGAGTTATTTCAGAGCAGTCTCCTTCCACATTTTACTGTGCAACATTAATGAGCTCTTCAGTAATAATGAATCTCACTGGCATTTCAAATGTTTATATAGTTACCTAGACTGAATTTTTCTTATTCCCACTTTTCTTCTTCTGTGAAATTTGTGTGTATAATTATTTACTTGGTATATTAATTCAGTAATAAACATATTTTGAATACAGGATAATGCTAGCAAATTCTAAATATTCTGCATCATTTCTATACAATTGTTGGTAGTGCTTTTATGTAGAAGATTAGGTCTGTTATAGTGTATTCTATTCTTGGGACATGTTTTTATGGTACTAATTTATGCATAGGTACTTTCTGAATATAATATATAATAACTTGACTTGTACAATAATTGATGAAATTATTATTTTATAATTTGTATTAAATTGTGCACATAATTTTTCATTGGTAATAAAATAGCAACAAGTGGACTATATCTTGCTTGAAAAAAGACGTGCTTTTTAATATAATAATAAGGAAATTAAAATGTTAAAACTATATGTGAAACTAGGTCTGTCACTGTCGACATATTGAGGGTGCTCGAGAAGAGTGTTGTTTAGAATATTTGGACGTAAGAGGGATGGTGTGACTGGAGGCTGAAGAAAACTGCATAATGAGGAATTCCATAGTTTGTACTGTTGACCATATGTTGGAGTGAGATGGATGGGACATACAGCATGTATGAGACAATGGACAAGGGAAGGAGATTTGTGTGAAATATTTAGGATTTCAGATTATGGTGTTGACTATGAAGATGGCTATCCTCTGGGTTGTATGGGAGGTAGCAGAGGTACCCACTGCCTCTCTGTAGTGATGGAAGCAGCAAGAACTATGAAACGTCGGTAAACATCTACCAGACTACATAACACTACAATTTTGAAGACAGCCAAAAATCAGTAAACAATGTTACCGACTGATTCAAAGATTAAGTCATAAAAGTGTTGCTGTAGATCATGTTGATAGATGGCAGTAATGTCAGATGTGATGTCAAACTTTGTAAACTATGTCTCGTATACTAACAAAATTAACTATTGACCTTTCGTTTTCACGGTGACTGGCATTACTGAAATCTTGTTCTATCAGCTGTATTATTTTGTTAAAAACGCGAGATGTTCATCCTTGCAGATTATCTGCCTCCAAAAATTAAATAATGAGTTCAGGCTCTCGTCCATCTCCCAGAAAATAGAGGAAACGACAGTCAGTTTCTACTATTCGGAACAACATTTCAGAGGACAGTTATCATTCTTCTTCTTGTTTCTGAGGTTTCCTAGTCTTTGAAGTGTGCATTTGTGAGTAGTGGGTGACAAGTCCACTACCTCTGCAAAATTTCTACTCAATCCTGTTCACCATATCAAACTATGCTCTCATCTGTAGTACCATAATACTGTTCATTAATACCATCTTATCGCTACAAAGTACAGTTTCTACTTGGAGATGAACGATGGGTTGGCATTATTGACAGTTGGGACGCGACATAACACTCCATATGTTATGTTGGTATAGTGTGAGAGGTTATCAACGTCTTTGGTAGTCCGTGACATAACCTGTTCCAAACACAAATGTAGCATGAATAACCAAGAATGAATTGTGACAGTTTCAGTTAAAATGTTGATGTGTTTACGTTGAATATATAGAATACTCTGGATTTTATTTGTGACACATATTACTGCGTAAGGCAGTAGTTAGACCAAGAACATGTGAAGTTCAAACAAGAAACTTGTTTTAACGCAATTTAAGGAGCTTTATAGGTTAAAGTTGAAATTTGACATCCATTACAGTGTTACCAATTGTAGAATCAGCACCAGGATTACAGAAAATGTCGTCTCGAACTATGTGCATTACCCAGGAAGGTCCTGCAAATGCGCTTGCACTTAATAAAGATTATTCACAGGTTGTCATTGCGGGGAGAAATGGTAACACCTTTATTATAATGTATTCCGGCATTATAAATTGTGACCAGTATCCTTGCTTGAGAATTTAGGTTTTTGCGGCGGCGACTATGAAGATGATCTTCTGGGATGTTGCATTATGTAGTCACATAGAAATTGACTGACATTTCAGAACTGCTTACTGCCTCCATAATCAGGGTGATTGCCCTTCATCCCAGAAGAAAGTAATTATCATACTTGCTGCCATGAGAACCTTTAATCTTGCAGGGTAGAGGATTGTTGTGTTTGTATTTTATGGGGGCTGCCAAGTTTTGACTGTGCTGAAAACTTGGTTTATCCTATTTACTGCTGAAGAGAATAAATGTTGGTTAGTTTGCTGATGGTTACATGTGAGGTAGTTTGTGTGGAATTGTTAGCAAGCATAAAAATTCAGGCTTTTAATGTTCTGCCTATACAAAGTAAACTATGAAGCAAAAAATTGCATAGCCATGTATGGGAGAAGTTGTGGCTTCTCAAGTGTAGTTATACAGCAGTAAAATCCAGTGTTTTTTTGTAAGCTTCCATGATAATTAATGAAAAATGTTTATAGCTATGCTGCTAATACCTATCCCTCATTTTCCACTTCCAGAGGTCATTGTCTTGCTTTCCTTCACTACTATTACCTTCTTTCCCTTCTTGTACTTTCAAGATGCCATCAAAAAAGTAATAGACCAGACACTGCATGTAACCAACAACATAAACATTATAACTGCAATAAATCACTTTTCTTCTATGTAAGAACATACGGACATCCCTCCCGTAGGTAACTCTAGAAACATTATCAGCTTCAGACTGTTGGATCTCTTGTTTTGGATATTTGTATGTTGTCATGCCTAAATCTTTATCCTGATTTACCTTTACAAAACAGACCCTTCAAAATCTATCATCCATTTTGGAGAAGTCTGTTACATTTTAATACCATTGTGTGTATGAATGACAATGAAATTCTTATTTTACAGTTTTCAAAGTATTTTCTATTGAAGAAGATGAATTTGTAGAGAACTGTAATCTCAGAGTTGGAAAGAACCTTAATCTTAATTTTTCCTGTAATGATGTTGCTTGGAACACAATTGAAGGTATGATAATGCATGTAATATAAACAAAAGTTTTGTTCTCAGTGTAGGCAGTTTTCCACTCTAAAATTAAACTTGTTTTTATCAGAAAGATTATGATGTGTTTATGTAATAAATGTTAATCAACATAAAGATTTGAAATAGTTATTGACTTTTTGTATGTTCAGTAAGACAAATATAATACTTCACTAAGGTCTTCAAGCATACTGGCAGTTTTAGTTGTGTAATATAGTAAAAATTTGTGTCATGGTAGTAAGCTTTAGTAAGAGTCCTTTACATACGATTGAATGAAAATACTCTTGTTCTAGTCATGTACAACAGACAAGTATTGTGTGCCCATTAGGCAGTGTTATAAATTTGTGTGTAAGTAATTTAAAATAGAAATTCATTAGTAAACCACTGTCAGCAAAATGAATAGCTTTCGCTTTCTGTCCATATATTTAATAATCATTCTATTATCACAGACCATATCTTAGCAACTGCTGCTACAAATGGTGCTGTTGTTCTGTGGAACCTGAATCGACTTTCACGATCAAAACAGGAACATGTATTTATGGACCATAAACGAACTGTAAACAAAGTGAGTTTCCACACATCTGAACCTACTTGGCTCATTTCTGGCTCTCAGGATGGGACCATGAAATGTTTTGATCTTCGAACAAGAGAAGCCACTCGTACATTTTACAGGTAATAAATGCTTCAAGGAATGATATAAGTATCTGTCTCAGCAATTATGAAGTTCATAAATTCCTATCTGTAATTTCTCATATACATAGACTTCATGTTCATGATTGGAATTATCATAATTTTAAATTTCACAACTTTTTTGTAGCTGTGACAAGAGGAAGAGATGGCATTTGATGTTGTTTATATACTGTGACACCAAACCACTGACATTGAATATTTAAGTAGGTAACAATGTGCTGCCTAATATTCCATTTCAGTAACACTGAAAGTGTCCGTGATGTTCAGTTCAGTCCTCATCTCCATCACACCTTTGCTGCTGTTTCTGAAAATGGAAATGTTCAGCTTTGGGACCTGAGACGTCCTGATCGTTGCTATCAGCAGTTTACAGCTCATAGTGGACCAATATTTGCCTGTGATTGGCATCCTGAAGTCACTTGGCTGGCCACTGCTAGTCGAGATAAAACAATTAAGGTGAAATTACGCATAGTTTTGTACTTATTCAAACCTCCTGGTTTACTGATTGTGATTTTTGGGCCTGTTTCAGTCCTGCTTGGTAAATGCAGCATTTAAATAAATGTGACTGCTTCTATTCACATCTGTACTGTATATAACCATATGTTCATTTCACATTGGCGCTACTAACATTTATAAGTGACATGGAATGTTGTACTCCTAACAAAATAGCCAATGTCAATCATGCTTGGCTGTATAAGTGCTCTATTCATGCAATGTGGAAAAAAATAAAATAAGTTCTGATGGTGGTTACTGTGCTAGAAAGAATTGCAAATGAGGCTGTGGAGGCACATATGGTGGGGTCTGGCAGAATGTATGTTTATCAGGAGTCTGCAGTCAGGCAGTTGGTGCATTTGGCAGGAATTTGACTTCAGTTGCCATGAAGATGTATTCACATTTGATTTACTTTGTAAATAAATGTAATTTTACTGCAGTATACAAAGATAATACTGTAGTCAATTGTATTACTGTTCAACACAAAAATTATTTATTCCCATACTCTTCAACAGGCCATACTACATTAGTCATTAAGTAAAAAATAAACAGTTACTCCATTGTTGAGACCAATGGTATTAAAATTGGACAGTAATTTATGTTGGTGTTATTATAAAACAAAGTGCAGAGTAAAAATGTAATTGATAGAAGGAAAATGTGTGGGGAGAATGGAGAAAATTACATAATAAAATGACATTTTTTGTACTGTGCAATGAATATTGTTACAATTAATTACTTGTAGTTAATTTAAACTAATTTTCATTTGTGTAGGTTTTGTAGTGCTAAATGGGAGAATGGTTATAAATGATGAATTGGGAAGGATATGAAAATGCTTGTGACCAATTTGAAGATATTGTCAGCATTTGCTTGGCAAGACTGAGGAAATCTACAAAAATCTCCGGGTGCAAAAGCTAGAAGAAGAAAGAACGCTCGCTTTTACTTTACCTTAACTGTACTCAGAGTCTATCATTGTTTGTTTGGCAGTTGGTATAAGAATGACAAAGAATGCATCTGAAAAATTTGTGTTTCTCTGATGTACATTTTTCCACTCATTTATTGCAGGTGTGGGATCTTGCAGGCAAGCCATCACTTGAATACACAATACACACCATTGCATCTGTAGGACACATTAAATGGAGGCCTCAGCGGAAATACCACATTGCCAGCTGTGCCCTGGTGGTAGACTGTAGCATCAATGTTTGGGATGTGAGACGGCCATATATTCCCTTTGCTGCATTTAATGAACATAAAGATGTAGCTACAGGAGTTGCGTGGAGAGGTGACCCTCATGTCTTCCTGTCAACAAGCAGGGTGAGATTTCTGAATTTTTACTTCGGTTGTGTAACAGACCCCATGTATTTGTGGAAATGCATATTTTGTTGCATTGACTAAACATAATTTAGTTAAATATCACATAAAGGTAAGATTAATTTTCCTTGTATGTTGGATGTAATACTTATGGTTTTTATAGCATGTATTTATACTGCATAGCATGCTTATTGATATTAATATCTGAACTCTGAACATTCAGTCCTTCTTGCAAAGAAAACACAATGTGTCTACATTAAAAGTTGAGTTTGTCAATGCAATACAAGAAAATAATCACTGTTTTTGCTGAGAGTCATACAGAAGCCATAAATATACTATATGGTCAAATGCATAGTTGCTGAATGTTAAAGCACTGGTCTTTAAATAATTAAGCATTATAAGATGAGAAAAAGTTATTTCACTACTTGATGTAAATTTCCATGGCACATAATATAAGCAGAGTTATTCATGTAAACATAAACTGATGAGAGAAATACTGTGCTTAAATTTTACATTATGTTAACCACAACTGCTTCCTATAGTTAATGAAGTGGGATCATGTTTGGGTATGATTAGCAAACATAGTGGTCAACATACAAGAATTTCTTCACCAGCTGATAAATTTCAGTTGCTTCAGGGAAATTTTATTATATGGACGAAGTAGTATAATGTATTCCATTTTGTATTCAGGACTGCACCTTGTACCAACATGTGTTCCAAGATGCAACACGCCCAGCCAGCAAAGCAAACCCTCAGGCAATATCTCTGAACAGCAAAGGAGATGTGGCCTATGCTTGTCAAGTAAACATGAACCCAGTGCGAGGATCAGCCAAGCTGTCTGGTATCCTTCGAAAGGCTCCCCCTCATAGTGAACAATTCTGCCAGGTGAACAGTGTCATGCACCGGTTCTTGAGTAAGAATCCGCGGGAGATGCGATGTTTCCACGAATGTGCCCGAAGGTACATCCTGACTGGTCGGCCTCTCTCAGATATTTGTGATCATAATGCTGCAGTAGCCAAGGATCTTAACAGACAACATGTAAGTAGCTCATTGCAAGCTAGACACATTTCACCCATTTTGAGAGAGTTTCCATAGTGGACAAATTTAGGGGTTCTGCTTATCCAGTTCTCTGATCTTTTCATTCATTGTATTTAAAAGTATTATACATGTGGTTGGTTGCATTGAGATCTTCTGTAACTGTATATGAAATGAATTTGATCAGTTGAACTGAAACAATGTTTTGTCATGTAATTCTAGATACCTAGACAAAATATCTAGGAAGAATCATAAAGCTTGGTTTTCCTTATGCCTGTAGCCTGTAGTTCCAAATTTTTTCTCAGTTAAAATTTACCTCTTTGTACTGGTTGCAGGTGAGTCTGGTATGGAGTGTTGTGAAGACGCTATATAGTAGCAAAGTGGGTGACTTTGGGCAACAAACTCCATCTGGAAATGTATCAAGAGAGGAAACTGGTTTGGGTGTTCCGCAGACAACATTAGGAACCAGCACAGGGGCAGAACCCATCAGTACTGGTGTAGGTGGAGATGGTGATCAGCACTCATTACTTGGTGGTGGTGGAGGAGAGACACCCGGGGGTGCAATGAGTGCAGGGGAAGATGAAACTGAAACAGATGAAACTCCAGAACAACATTTTAATGGGAGGATTGGTTTGGGAAATCTGTCCATCCCTCAGGGAGACTTTTTCTTTGGTGACGGAGAAATGGATCCATTAAGCGTGGACTTTGACCGAATGAATAATGGTATGATGGGAATGAGCCTTAGCAATGGATTGCTTGGAGGATCACACATATTGCTAGATGCTCAGGTGCAGCAGGACTGGACGCTTCCAAGCGAAGCATTTCCCTTGAGGCATGAGATTCAGGATCGTTCACCACCACCAGAGCAGTTTCCAAATCATGGATCACCAGATCTAAATGATCATGGTAATTTTTATATAGAGTGAAATTCACTCACACCTCTAGCAGATCTCAGAAATTTATTTGTTCAAATGGACCAGGTAATTTATATTTTAAATCAAAGTTTCACTATGTTGTATTGAAATGCCAACAAATCAATTGATTTAAATATTTGGAATCCATCACTTCTGTATGTTGTACATGGTAGTAACCATTTAAAATGACTGCTGTTTGTGGTGCAGGAACAGGTAGTAAATTAATTATTAATATCTTGAAAATTACGCTGTTCTGTCTAAGCTGACAAAATGTCACATTTAGCATGCAGACCATAATCCTGGTAGGTACTAGATATCATTTCAAGTAGCCATGTATTATACATTTTATCAGGATGGGTGTACAGAGCATATCAGTTATTCAGTATGAAAATAAGCTTTCATTTGTATTGGTATTTGAAACTTCATAAGTGTGACATGGATAGACTGAACTGGCCATTGACAAGGTCTCTTTTTGGGCTTTTGCTGCTGTGATCAGAATCTGTAATTCTGGCATTTCAGGAAATAATTAAATACTTGGTTTGATTCACACTTCAGATTCTCAGGCTGTAACTGTTGAAGACCAGCCATCTTCCCTTCTGAATGTAACAACTGTACCCCAAATTGGACTATGGGATCCAAGCCATATCATGGTGGAAATGTTGAAACATCATGCATCTCTCGGGGATGTTCAGACTTCAGCATCTGTTTTATTAGCTCTTGGAGACCAGCGGCGAAGTCTCACTACGTTAGATGAAGCAACTCAAGAACAGTGGCTGCTAGGATACCTGGATACCCTGACAAGGTATCGACTTTGGGATGTGGGTACACAGGTAAATATTCTGGTTTGTGATATCATATGGTGGGTACCAGTGTTTCAGAGAAAATACTGTTTCCACCTTCAGGGCTGAAGATTGACATTTTCATCATCATGAGGACCTTTAGTCTCTTAAAATGTCTTTTGTCCCAACTGGTTTTCAATGTGTATGTGTAGAATCCATGTTAAGTGATCTCTTCTCATCATGGCATATCCTCTGGTTACAGACAGAAGCCATGGCCTCCAAATATGGAAGGTTCCTGCATATATACTGAATAAACAATTACAAGCAGCTGACAAGAGATGGCTGTCCAATTTTGGGGTTCAAAATGTGACAAAAGGCCTTTGTGAATACCATGGAA